TTAGAACAATGATGCTGACAGTATTGTATAGAATGGATCAGATTTAAATGTAAGAAAGAATATCAGAAGAATATCTCAGTAGTAATATCACTGGTAAGAGGTGCTGGTAGTCTAGACTAGAGTAGAAGCAGCGGAAATACAAAACTATTGAAATACATGATTCACAAGAAAAACTGAAGAACTGAATTGGCTAGATATATTCAAAGAAAAAAGGGGGGGTGTAAAAATTGACTGAGGCTTTATGTGTGGGATGGAATGCAAAGTTTGAAGGGTAAGAGAGCTGGCCTAGAATGGGTGAAAATGATTAAATAGTGTTTTAAATTTGGGTATGTTGATGTTGAGACAGTTTATCATGTGAATACTTTTTGATGTGATTCCTTCCTCTTTTCATTCACCCCTATGTTACTTCTGGAAACATTTTATCCAAAGTACATCCCTGAGATCTAATGTATGAGCTTTAGCAATATTTCTCTCTTTTTTTTTTATCCTCACTGGGGGACATTTTTGCATTTATGTTCAGATGAAGCGGGAGGGAGAGATGGGGAAGAGAGAGAAAGAAACATCAATGTGAGAAAGACACATCGACTGGTTGCCACCCACACGACCCCAACCAGGGCCAGGGACAAACTGCAACCGAGGTATGTGCCCTCAACGGGAACCGAACCTGGGACTCTCTGGTCCACAGGCCAACGCTCTAACTGCTGAGCCAAACCAGCCAGGGCGCAATATTTCACTTTATTGACTTTTTCCTACCCAAATCTCTGTTATAATGTCTGTAGGAGTTACAACCCAAACGCTTTCAGCTTGAAGTTAATTTTAGAATTGTCAGTGAGCCTTTTATTCTTCCCTTTTTAATTTTAAGTTAGTAAGCACTGAGCTGAGAGATAAATATTTGAGTTAATATTAAAAGTAACAAGTTCTATACTATTTTTTTTTTTCAGAAATATTTTAATTTTTTTTTTTTTATCCTCACCTGAGGACATTTTTCCATTTTTTTTTGTTCAGGTAGAGTGGGAGGGAGAGAGAGGAACAGAGAGAGAGAGAAACATCGATGCGAAAGGAACACATCGAGTGGCTGCCCTCCGCACAACCGACCAGGGCCGGGGACAAACTGCAGCCAAGGTACGCGCCCTTAGCGGGAACCGAACCTGGGTCTCTCAGGACCGCAGGCCGACACTCTAACCGCTGAGCCAAACCGGCCAGGGCTTTCAGAAATATTTTAATATAATGCTACTATTTATACAATATAGTTACTCCAGGACTATATACATTCTGCAAGTAATTTACTATAATGAAACTTTCCATCTGAATGTTGTGAATGAATTCTGAGCAGTCAGGTTTTTCTAGCAGACTCCAGGTTAAATGGTAGAGTATAACTTTTATTTATAGTTGATGGAATTCCCCCCCCCCCCCATTTATTTTTCATTTATCTGACTTCTATTTTTCTATTTCTTAACATGTTTTCTTCTGGGTTTTATCTATTTAGGTAATTTTTATTTTGAGATAATTTCAGATTCATAGAAAAATTAAAAGAATAGTACAAAGAATCCCCTTATACTTTTTACAGATTATCCATGTATTAATATGTTACCACATTTGCTTTATCTCTTATTTATACATATACATATATACACTCACATTTACTTATTATTTTTCTGAACCATTTGAAAGTTACAGGCATAATGTCCCTTTACCCCTAAATGTTTTACTTGTATTTTTCCTAAAAACAAGGACATTTTTTTTTTTTTAAATCCTCACCTGAGGAAATGTTTTTATTGATTTCAGTGAGAGAGAGGAAGGGTGGTGGGGGAGAGAGAGACATGGATTGGCTGCCTCCCACATGCACCCGGACCAGGGATCAAACCCGCAACCTAGGTATGTCATTCCCTGATTGGGATTCAAACCCTTTGGTATACCAGACAATACTCCAACCAGCTGAGCCACACCGGCCAGTGGCAAGGACATTCTTTTAAGTAATCACAGTACAGATTATCAAAATCAGGAAATTGAATGTATAAACAAACTGTGGTACATTCATACATTGATACTAGTAGGCAATGAAAAAAGCTACTGATATATGCAACAACACAGATGAATCTCAAATATAGTATGCTAAGTGAAAAAAGATAGTCTCAAAAAATTGCATACTATATGGTTCCATTTTATGACATTTTGGAAAAGTCAGTTATTGAGGCAAAAATAAATAAATAAGTGATTATTGGGGAAAGGGTTTAACTGTAAAAGAGCAGTGCAAGAGAATTTGGGGTGTGATGGAACTGCTTTACATCTTAATTATGGCAGAAGGTACACAACTATATGCTTTTGTCAAAACTCATAGAACCATACACCAAAAAAAGAATGAGTTTTTCTGTATGTAAATTTTAAAAATGGGAAAGCAATCAGGAATTAACATTGATACAATGTTATTAGCTTATTTGAATACCTTATTAAAAATTTTCCAGTTTTAATAATGTCATTTATATCATTATGTCTTAATACCTGCTCAGTAGTTACCCATCAAAATAAAGTAAAATAGAGGGGCAGGAGGAAGAAAATGTGAATATGGACTAGATTGTTACTACTCATTCTGTTAGCTCAGATCACTATTTTTCACGTATAATTCAGTATAGAAAAGCTTACCATCAGTTTTGTTTTAGCCCCATAAAATAATCTCAGATCACAAGTTAAATTCAGTTGTCATGTCTCTTTAGTTTCCTTTAACTTGAAACTGTTCCTTAGTCTTTCTTTGTCTTTCATGACCTTGACATTTTTTGTTAAGTACAGACTTTATAAGATGTCCCTCAATTTGGTTTAGTCTGATGTTTTCTCATGATCAGATTGAGGTTATGTGTTTTTGGCAAGTTTATCTCAGAAGTAATAATATGTTCTCAATACATCATATCAAGAGACACATAATGTTAAGGTGGTATCTGCCAGATCTCTCCACTATGAGGTTTCTGTTTTTCCTTTTGAAATTATTAAATATCTTATGAAAAAAATATTTTGGCATTATGTAACTATGTGGTTGTCGTTCACCGGCTAATTTGTGTGCTTGCATTAATTAGTTGCCCTTAAATAGAACTTATTAGACATAATTTAGCTGATGACCTAAGGCAGTTGTGGACATTACTTATTAGGATGCATCATAGGTCGATATACAAGGAGTAACTGTGCTGCGAGCTCTTCTGGGTAATGTTGGAGAGTGCACAGGCTTTGAGAACCAGAGGTGACCACTTAGGTATATGTGACCATTTCATGTATACTTCCACCTTCAAGACTGTAGAGCTATTGATCTCCTATTCACTGGCTTTCTGGCTCTCCTCTACACTATTGGGAGGGTACCTTACTCCTTGCTCCCGATATCATGACTGTTTAATGTCACTACCTCTATTTTATATAACAGTGTAGTTGAATTTTTGGTATTGATTTGCTTTCTCATGATGGATGGTCCAAGGTAAAAAATGTTGGGTCAATCTATCCAAAAAGAACTAGGTATAACAATGTTGTTGTTTTTTCTTTTCCCTATTTAAGAGTTATTCTTTTTAACAAATATATTGAATATATATTTATTTTCTCCTTTGCTTTGATGGGAAAGGAGCTCCTCTGCAGCTGTGTGTCCTGCTCTCAGGCAGTAATTATCCTTTAAGATCCCTTCACCTTTTCATACCTTAGATGTTTTCATAATACCAACTCAATAGTTCCCCTTCTAAATCAGATAAAATAGAGGGTCAGGAAGAAGACAATTGTGGATATGGGACAGGTAGTTACTGTTCATCCTGTTAGGGTTCAGATCACTATTTTTCACTGTGTAATTTAGTATAGAGAGTTTACCATCAATTTTGTTTCATCCCAAGCACCTTGGAGTAAAAATATGATTTATAATAACTTTAGTATAACAAACCTCCACCAAAAAGTAATTAGGTTTCCAAATTTATTATAATCACATTTTAACAAAACATAATTAATTCATTTTGAAATATAGGATCTTACATTGAATTAAACAGGTTTTGATTATCTGGAAAGGTATTTTATTTAAAGAAAGGTACAACTTTGTGATCTGGGGAATAGTTACTTGTAAATTATAAGTTTATAATTGAATACTGGCTTAATTGAATATAGTTATAATTGAATACTGGCTTAATTGAATATAGTTATAATTGAATACTGGCTTAAGTTTTTATTATATAAGACATTTGCCCTGGCCCATTTGGCTCAGTGGTTAGAGCGTCGGCCCATGGACCAAAGAGTCACAGGTTCAATTCCAGTCAAGGGCATGTACCATAGTTGTGGTTCAGTCCCCAGACCTGGTTGGGGTCATGCAGGAGGCAACCAATCAATGTTTCTCTCTCATATCGATGTTTCTCTCTCTCTCTCTCTCTCTGTTTCTCTCTCTGTTTCTCTCTCTCTCTCTCTCTCTCTCTCTCTCTCTCTCTCTCTCCTTCTCTCTTTCTCCCTCCCTCCTTCTCTATCTAAAGATAAATAGAAAAATATCCTCGGGTGAGGATTAAAAAAAGAAAAGGACATTTAATTTCAGTATTTAAAACAGTGATCTGTACAAAAAAAAAGAGTTAAAGATATTGTGGGTTCAGTTCAAGGCCGTTGCAATAAAGTGAGTATAGGCATACCTCAAACATATTGTGAGTTTGGTTCCCAACAACCATAATAGTGAGTATTGTAGTAAAGAGAGCCATAATCTTTTTGCTGGTGGAGCATCTTGTCTTCAGTTTGTAATAAGACTAGGTATGCCTTTATACAAATGGACCTTTGCCCTCCTTTGATTTTTTTTATAATAGCATCTATTACTAGTTTCCTTATTTGAAATGCTTTATAGTTATTAACTATATCTCTTCCTCATTTTTTTTTTGTCTACATCACTACATTCCTTTTTCTTTTTCTTTTTTTTTCAAAACGGGGAGAAAAGCAGTTAGAACTCTTAAGTTATTGAGTCTCTGTCCCTCACTTGTACCATAGCATGTTTTTTCTTCTTTGTCTTAATTTTAGGGCCTTTTACCTTAAAGTGATCATCACAAATGTAAAATATCAAGTTAAACCTCACAAGAGATTATTGTCCAAAAGGAACATCTTAGTTCCAACAGTGTACAAAGGAACAGTACTAGCCTGTCAAGCCAACTAAAGGTAATGCACGAAGCACACACAGATGTTAGCCACAGAAGTGCAAGGGCCTTTAAATGACACTACATATATATATTATTTATCCTTTAATGTCTTTTAACATATCATATTTGACACAAACCAAAAAAGTGTAACATATTAGTTTAAAATACAGCTATGATCTTATACTGATGATTTCATATCAGTATGAAAATTTTCAGATAAATTCATGTGTAGAAAAGAATTTCTGGATCCAAAAATAAAATAACTTGTCACGTAGAATGTGATGCATATATGTAATATAATGAGTATATCAACTGTAAATTTTATTTTAATTTATTTTATTTTTTTATCCTCACCCGAGGACATTTTTCCATTTTTTGTTCAGATAGAGTGGGAGGGAGAGAGAGGAAGAGAGAGAGAGAGAGAGAGAAACATCGATGTGAAAGGGACACATCGAGTGGCTGCCACCCGCACGACCAACCAGGGCCAGGGACAAACTGCAACAGAGGTACATGCCCTTAGTGGGAACCGAACCCAGGTCTCTCTGGACCGCAGGCCAACGCTCTAACCTCTGAGCCAAACCGGCCAGGGCTCAACTGTAAATTTTAAAATATTAACATTACAAATGTAGTTGTGAAAACTAGACCCCAAATAATATGTATTTGTTTGGATTTTCTGTATTTGCCTTACGGATAGTGATTTACATGTGTTGCTTACCAGATTTTTTTTGTCAATTATTTTTTATTGTGGTAAAATACACATAACATAAAATTTATCATCTTAACCATTTTTAAGTGTACAGTTCAGTGGTATTGAATACATTCATTTACCCCCATCCATCTTCATAACATTTTTATCTTGTAAAATTGAAATTCTCTATTCATTAAATAATAATTCTCTATTCACCCCTTCTCCCAGTCCCTGGAAACCACCATTCTACTTTTTATCTCTATGATTTTGACTGTTCTGAGTATCTCATATAAGTCTAATCATCCAATATTTATCTTTTTGTGACTGACTTATTTCACTTAGCATATATTCTCAAGGTTCATCCTTGATGTAGTATGTGTCAGAATCTCCTTCCTTTTTAAGGCTGAATATTCCATCATGTATATATATCACTTTTTTTTATCCCTTCATCCATCCATGGATATTTGGATCCATGTTTTAGCTATTGTGAATGATGCTGCTATGAACACAGATGTACAAATATCTCTTCAAGACTGGATGTTTTCAGTTCTTTGAGGTATATACCCAGAAGTAGATCATATGGTAATTCTGTTTTTAATTTTTAAGGAACCACTATACTGTTTTCCATAGTGACACATTTCCTAAAAAGTGCCCTTTTTCCCCCCACCAACAGTGCATAGAGTTCCAATTCTTCAACATCCTCACCATTCTGTTTTTCTCTGTTTGATAGTAGCCCTCTTAATGAATGTGAGGTGATATTTCCTTGTAATTTTGATTTGCATTTCCAAAATGATTAGTGATGTTGAACATCTTTTCATGTGCGTTTTGACCATTTATATTTCTTCTTTAGGGAAATGTCTGTTCAAGTTCTTTGCCCAGTTTTGAATTGGGCTGTTTGTTTGTTGGTGGTGATTGTTGAATTTTACAATGTCTCTATATATCCAGGACATTAATCCTTTTTCAGATATATGATTTGCAAATATTTTCTCTGTGGGTTGTTTGTTTGTTTGTTTTTTTCACTCTGTTGATGTTTAGAACTCTAAACTTGCTTTCAAATGGACTGTCTTTAATCCCCCCTCTCTTTAAGTATTTAAAAATCCCACTGATGTTCTAGGGTCTTCTAGCTGCTGTTTGAGATGATAGTGGCAAGAATGGACTCTAATCCTAAACTACTGGTTAAATGTTATTTTGAGCTATTATGCTATTTTTAATAAAGAACAGAAAATCACATCTGAGAAGAGGATGAAGAGAAAGAACTACTTCTTAGGATCCAGACTTTGAGAACTTGTACCAACCAAACATATACTGTAGTTTTAAACTAATTATTTACAAATGAAGGTAACCATGATAGTTTAAGTTTTTGTCAGCTAAGTGTAGACTGGAGCTTTCTTGTGCCCAGAATCAACCTGTATTTTCAAAAAGCAATAAACCAGACTTCTAATGAGTATGATCTGCTGGGCAGTGCTTAAGTATAGATAAAATACTTTCTACCTAATCCCTACATACATTTATTTATATACATGGGCATATGTTTTTCTTTACATAAGTGTATGTCTATATGTATATAAATCTTCAAATGAATAAATGCGTAGGTAAACATGGTATTCTAGCTTACAGAATTAGAAATGTAATTCAGTTTATTCCCAAAGAATAAGATTGAAGATAATGAGAAGTGAATTAAAGCTTACTTTCTTTCACAGAATTCCTCAGAGAGAGAAGACTGTAATAATGGCGAACCCCCTAGGAAGATAATACCAGAGAAGAATTCACTTAGACAGGTATGAAATTCAGTCTTACTTAAAATAAAAAGCTACTAATAACAAAACAAAAGACAGGAAACTCTTAATTTTCCATTTGTTAAGCATTGGAGCTTAAATTAAGAATATTCTGAAGTTGGTGTGGCTAGCCACCTTTCAGTCAGGTAACGTTGTTTTCCCAATCTTTAAAAATATCCTATGTATCCCAGCTGAGTGGCTCCATTGGCTGTATTGTCATCTTATACACCTAAAAGGTTGCAGGTTCAATTCCTAGTGGGGCACATGACTAGGTTGCAGGTTTCATCCCCAGTTGGGGAGCATACAAGAGGCAACCAATTGATGTTTCTGTCTCACATCGATGTTTCTTTCTCTTTCTCCCTTCCTTTCTCTCTAAAATCAATAAATATATCCTTGGGTGAGGATTTAAATATCTCCTAGGTATACAAGCAAAAGACAGTCAATTGCTTAACAATAATAAAAACAAAATCAAAGAAAGAGTTTCTTGTTTAGGAAAAATTACTTGAAGTGGTTCTTAAGTACAGATAGTAGAATAGTTTACTTTAACCCTCATTTTCCTTTTAAGATTCTCCATACTTTTAAAAAATTAATAATCAGCTTAGCCCTGGTAAGGCACATACCCAGGTTGTGGACTCCGTCCCTAGTGGGGGTTGTGCAGGAGGCAGCCAATCAATGTTTCTATCTTACATCGATGTTTCTATTTCTCTCTCCCTTCCTTTCTCTCTCTCAAAAAATCAATAAAAATATTTTTAAAATAAAAATTAATAATCAGAAGGAATCTGCCTATAGTGAGTTAGCTCCTTCTAGTCTGAGCAATATTTGTTTGTTTCCTAGAAATAAAGGCCATTATTATTATTATTATCATCATTATTTTATTTTTTTAATCCTCACCCAAGGATATTTTTCTATTTATTTGCAGCCAGAGTAGGAGGGAGGGAGAGAGAGAGAGAGAGAAACATCAGTGTGAAAGAGACACATCAATTGGCTGCCTCCCTCACAACCCCACCCAGGGCCAGGGACTGAACTGCAACCGAGGTACATTCCCTTGACTGGAATTGAACCCACAGCTCTTTAGTCCGTGGGCCGACTCTAACCAATGAGCCAAACTGGACAGGGCATAAAGGCCATTACTGATGACAACTTAAAAAAAATTTTTTTTTACTTACCACTATCTCTACACTCTCCACAGATAACACATTTTACTTTGAAAATTCAATTCCATAGTGCTTTCTTTTTAAAAATTAAAATGGTTTTAAAACTTGCTTTTCTCACTGCCTGTAGCAGCATCCTCTATCTTCTTTCTCCCACTAGCAACAAAAACAAACTCATAAGTGTTGTCAGAGAATAGGTATAACACTTTTTTTTGACACGTGACATCTTATTTTAGTGGTTTTTTTTTTTTCAATTACACCACCTATTCATTTTTAATATAAAATTGGATAAGATGAGCTCCAGCAGTAGTAATAATTTTAATTTACGTGCATTTATGGCATTATTCTAGGAAAAAGGAGATCTAATATTTGTTGAGTACCCACCATGAACCTGATCCTTACTTCATTTAATACTCACAATAATCTTATAAAGTTATTAGATATGATTTCCAATTCATAGACAAAGAAAATGAGGTTTAGAGAGATTAGATGGTTTATTAGCTAGTCAGTGATTTGAAACCCAGATCTCTGTTGCCAAAATGTTTCTACTTCTGCCTTCGGACTCCAGATTGTATACAGTGTTAATTTAGGGGAAAAGTACTTGAAACTGTGACACTCATTTTTTATTTACTGTCTGTTACACCTTATTTGAAGATAAACACCTGATCTGTAAATGTAAATAAATAGAACAATATTGAATAAGATAAATTTGGAGGTGGAAACAACTGTCAGAAAACAATGACATGACAAAAAGTTTTGGCAACTTTATTTAAGCTAACAAACGAATTTTCACTCTGCAAAGTTATAAATTAATTTTAATAGGCTGATCCAGATGGTCCATTTGGAAAATGGATAGGCTGATCTGTTGAAAATTAAACTAAATTTATCTCTCTCATACTTCAAACTGAAGCAAGAGAGAGAAGCATGCCTATTAAGTCCAGCACATACAGATGGACCAGCAGGTCACACATGGGACTAATCTGATTCATTTTTAAAATAAATGCATACATTATTAAATCATTTTTCTACTTGCAAGATCTGTTGTGTGCAGTATTTGAAAGAAACTTAATGTTTGTTTGTTTTTTCCATCGATTTTTAGCAGGTTCACTTCCCTGCCACTCACCACTTTAACTATTTTTGTCTTTTTTCTTCCTAGTGCTCCAAAATGCTTTTTCTGATACTGTCAGTGTTGCGATCCAAGCTCTGGAGATTAATTAGGTCATGAGGCTCTCCCCACCCCCTTTCTTTGTAAAGGGTTTTATCTCTATTCTCTTTGTGAAGAGCATGAACTCAGTGTTCTTGGAAAGAGAAATGGCCTTTAGAAACAGGGAAGTAGGAGATCCTCCTGGGGCCCTCAGAGTCTTTTAGCTTCTGGGTGTTTTAACAGGCCCATGAATGCAGATTTGTAAATTTATTGCAGTGCCATCTGGTTTTTTGCTCGAACCAGATTACTGTTGGCTTGTGTCTGTCTATTGTGGTGGTCACTCCCTAGGAGCTTGCCCTCTCAATCTTAGGAAAGAGTGATGAATAACAGGGGTCAATAGAAGCGGGTCACAGGGCAGCTGTCTAGGACTGCCCTGAACTTGATTACCCCACTGCTGAATTTTTTTAATGTAGGACATAATATATAAGCTGTTTAAACTCTCTCTTTTCTCTATTGCACATGACAATAATGAAGTGTCATTTGCTTGTGTCGCCTCCACCCCTGCTTTAGTAAAGTTATGTAAATAAAAAGGAGCCAAGGCTGCCTTTTACCTAATACTGATGTAAGTAGGATTTGCTTGTAGGACAATACCTTTAACTTGAGATTCTTTTGCAGATATTTCTACAATGCTCAGTTACATTCTAACAAGTTCAGTAATACTTTAAACTAATTTTATAGTTTACATATATTATTCTACAGTACAATATGACCATTGTTGATACGATATGATCACAGTGTGTTAACTTGGAGAGTTATTTCATTATTGGAGGATCTGAGAAAAGGTAACATTATTACAGTTCTTACAGACGTTAAAAGAATAATTGAATATTACAAACAACTTTAAACCAAAAATTTGGCAACTTAAATGAAATAGACAAATTCTTTGAAAAATACAATATACCGAAACCAACACAAGGTAAAACAAAATTTGAATAGCCCCATGTCTATGAAAGAAATTAAACTAATTATCAAAAGGCCCATATGGTTTCACTGGTGAATTCTATCAAACATTTAAGGAATAAATAGCACCAATCTTATATAAATTCTTTTCAAATATAGAGAAGAAAAGAACACTTCCTGACTTGTATTATAAGGCCACTATAACCGTAATTCCCAAACCTGACAAAGACATTAGCAGAAAAAGAAAATACTGAAGGAGAAAGTCGGGAGACATTACTTCCTGCATCACCCAGTCATTTTGTATACCTGCTTTTCCATTTCATTTCTAACATCAGAAGGCAGGATGGGGGTTGGGTGGAGAAGCAATGTTATCCTTTTACTTTTCTAAGTTTCAGAATAATTTTACCTCTTGGCATTAAGGAAAGTGTGAACTTTTGTTTAAAGGATGTACAAAGGAATTACAATTCTTTTTTTTTTTTTTTTTTTTTACTTTTAGTCCTAAAATGTGAAGCCAAGGACACCATAGCAACTGTTTTTATAGCTTTTATTCATATCTGCAAACAAGGGCAAAGGCCTGGGAGGATACATGAAAATACTCATTACTTTTTGAAAATGTAGCCTTACAACATGCAACTCCTTCTTTGCTTCACATTGGCGCTAATAGGATCTGTCAGCCCTGCCTTTCTCTGTAATTGAGTAAATTGTGACCTCTGTCTAATCCTTTCCCCATCCCCCATTCCCTTTGTGTATGTGTCCACTTACCATCCTGAGAACGTGGGCAGTGATAAATAAAGCATTGAGTAGAGCTCTCTCAATGCTCTGAAAGCAGCATGATGCCAGCCCTCTAGTTATATTTCTTTAAGTGTTTACGTTTTTCTGTATTCTTTCTCTTGTGTAGCTGGAACCCTGGGGATGCAAAGCCATGAGAGAGGCCAAGAAGCTAACAAAGTAGCTGTCTCCCTTGTTAGCTTGTTCCTTTATTCTTTAAAAACAAGATAAAAACCATCTGGCTCAGGGCATTACATTTTCTTCCCCCTTGCACCTCTATAGATGGAGACTTCACCTGCAGTGAGGGTTTACATTGATTAGGGAGGGAGCAGTAATTCAAGCTTCCATCCTCTTCAAGGATACTTTGCAGTCTTTAAAGGTGCTGACCCACTGAGTTAAACTGTCAAGGGAGGATAAAAAAGTATCTTCATCCCAGGAGGTAACAGCTGCCAGGTTTTCAACACCTTGCACAGGCTAGAAAAATGTCACAATTGTCAGCTGAAAGAAAAATGACTCTGTTGTCATCTTCTGTTAATGACTGGGCCTTATAAAAGGAATTGCATAAGTCTTTAAAAGGAGTAAGTAGCTGTTTCCTTGCCTACCACACCACCTCCCCAAATTCCTATGTTGTTCTAAACATTACCTTGGAGGAGATCCACCAAAAAAACAGCAGTGAAGAACTTAAAGTGAAAACATCCAACATAAGCATGGAAGTGATTGGCATAGCTCCTTATATACAGTTGGATGAATAGGAGGGTAAAATACATCACTGACACAGAAAATGACATTATAGTGTGTATTAACAAAACAACAACAACAACAAAAAATCATTCATAAGCCAGTGAACTGAGAAAAAACATACTGTATTTCTGCTCTTTGGAGGACAATTTGTTTTCAAGCAGCATCCAGATGGGTAAATACCATGACATTTCTTTTTTCAAGAGAGCCACTTCTTTTCTTTCTTTAAAAACAAAGTCACT